AGAAGAAGAACCTTCAGAAATCGAAAGAGACATAATCGAATACAGGTACCTACACCTAAGTTACAAAAAGGTCTAAGAGATTACCTGTAAATTAGCTTCAGCCCCAGGGCTGGAATTGTCGCTTTCGACAGGCTTGTTGAGAAGAACGTTTAGTTCCTCCTCCGTTGGCTCCTCAATAATCACTGGAGGTGGCCTGAGTTTTCTCCCAGCAACCTTTATTCTAATGGTTCGACCCTCAGGAGCAGGAGCAGGGACAGGAGCGTCCTTCGTCAGCTTTCGCCTTTTTAGAGGAGCAGGAGGAGAATCACCTTCTTCATCGCTCCCAGATTCGACCACCAGTGCTGGCCGTTTCTTGGGCGAAGGTGCCTAAAAAACCAATGGGAATTCGACTTAGCAATTGCATCGAAAGTCAAAAATCGAAATCCAGAAGAAAATATTGAAAGTCTGGTTACCGATACAGAAGGCTTCTTCGAAGGGCCTTCCCCCTGTTGTTTGGTTGTGGTCTTCGCCGGCGCTGTAGTCTTCGCCGGCGGTAGAGGTTTTGTTGAGGGGCCTCCTCCCTGTTGGCTTTCTGCAGCCTTCTTGGCTACAGGCTTTCGAACAACTGAAATCAAATAAATAGTTAACAGGCTAGCAGTCGAAAGAGAAAGACAAAGTAATGAGAAAGGATGAACTTACATTTCTTTATTTTGTCCAACACAAGGACAAAAGATTTCTGAAGCTCATCCACGAAGTCCTTTTCGTCAAAAAACTCCTCAGCGTAATAACTTTTCCACCATTCCTCGAAGGATGGTGAGCAAAGAAAGTTGAGCTGGTAGTCAAACAACGAGAGAACTGTTCGACCAGCATATCTTCCGATATGCTTAATGGCAACTTCTTCGGTGTAATCATTGCAGAAGTACAACATAGACTTCTCTCTTGGAAAGATTGGAGAAGGTAGGGTTTGAATAATACCAAACTGGCGAGTTACCAGGTTTGGTTGGTATGCAATCAGACTCAAGTGAGTCTTAGAACTCCTGAATCGAAGAGGCATGATCCTTGGTGTCAGGAACGCCTCCCACAGTATTGTATGTTCGTCAACATTAGGACCACTCGACGTCCTTGGATGTGGCCTTGTGAACCATGTTGGGCCTACCTTCCGTCGAGCAAACGGAGCCATAGTCGAAGCAAACTCCTTCCTTCGAGCAAACATTAGAACGAAGTTGGTGAAGGTTTGCTGAAACTCCAGTCCATCTTCCATAGTCGTCAACAGAGCCAGCCTGGTTCCTTCGATGCGTCTGTTCGCTATCTCTGGAGCCTGCTCATTTATTTGAACCTTCTTAGGCAAGAAAGATTCGAAGGTGGCATTGAGCCACAGTTGGAGCAGCCAAAAAGGCCCAGCAAGTAGCAAACTGGCCCTGTTCTCGATAATTTTTAGAAGAGTGGCCCCATTGCTAATCAAATCATAGAGGCTAGCCAAAATCAATTCTGCCAAGCAGATATTCTGGCCATGATGGAGTTGAGTAGCGAGAGTGATCATTTTCTTGGTCACCTGTAAGGACTTCGAGCAAAATACAAAGCGAGTCAGCCATAAGGCTAGAAACGCTATGTGTTCGACATCCGACACAGCATCTGTCGACCTGTCGTGGTAGTGGTTGATGAAGGTGGTATAGGTTGGTTTGGTGTCAGAAAATCCAATTTGGTCCTCCGACATCTCCTCCGGATCGAAGTAGTCCCCGGTGGGTCGAAGGCCAGTGATAGCGGCCACATCGAAGAGTGTAGGGGTCAACATCCCACAGGGAAGATGGAAAGTGAAGTGGGAGTAGTCCCAGAAAAGCAGAGAAGCTATCAACATCTCCGGAGAGTAGTTCAAACCTGTCTTCGACAGCATCACCAGGTCGAAAATCCCCATATCTTTCCAGATTGAAGCTTGGCGTTTCTCCATCTTTTCCAGCCAAGCAACGTAATCAGGAGTAAGACTAGGGCCAGACCTGAAAGCCCTAACGCCTTTGTTGAAGAAACGGAGGTCGATTTTTTCATGCGCAGGGTCTTCATTGTCTTCTGCGTCTTTCTTGGCGCATGCAACCGGTTTGAGTTTCTCAACTACCGGAAAATAACTCTTGATCTTCATGGCCTCAGCAATACTTGGATACAAGGGGCCAGACATAGCAAAGATCTGGTTGGAGTATCCAACCGGGATCATAAGGTGGCGTGAGTAAGCGTCACGAACAGCGATGTCCAAGGGTTCAGGGACCCTTCGTTGGCCCGTGGAGGTTACTACTGGAGCAGTGACGAAAACCTTAGGTTTGGCGTTCTCAGATGGTACGGTAGCGCTAGGAGCATTGGAACCAGATGCCATTGTTAATGGTGAGGTTGAAGACGAAGTGAAGGAGGAAAGGTTTTTGCAAAGATGACAAGTTTGTATGAAAACAGAGAAGTTTGAAAGCTAGATGGCGTAAAAAGTCCCACAATGGGGTACTTACTGCTATTTATAGTAGTGGGGGAAAATCCCCAAAACCGAGGACATTAAATGCCATTTAATTATTGCAGGAGATAGTGGGACGCGTGGCATCCCCCTGTTGTTTTAGCCGTTCTGCAGAAATAGAGGGACGCAGCGTGCGTCCTCGTTTTTGGGAATTGTCATAATGACAAATTCTGAAATGACGTTTGGCACTGCACGCTGTGCTGAAGTGACGTCTTAGGTACGGATAAATGATGGTTTTCTTGGGATTGCCAGTGGTTGGTATAAGACAACAAAAAGTGCACAAATTAATTTGTGACTAAGCGTGAAAAGACAGGTGTCGAATGGCGTTTCAAAGAATGCCTTTTTCTTTCAGAGTCGAAATAAGGCATTCTTGGGGGGCAATTTGTTGGCTCCTAAATTCGACACCCTTGTTTTATTAATGTCAGCCATTAAAGCTGGAGGATGTTTTCGACTGGCCAGGTCCGTCGAAATGCCCATCGAAAGATGGCAAAGTACTTAGAAGATTTCTTCTAAAGGAGAGGTTAGTTGCCTTCGACGTCGAAGGAGTTTCTCGTCGAAGATGTCTCTCGACGAAGGTGTTCGATGGTTCAGAGTGGAGCAGTTTGAAATTCAAGCGTTTGGAGGGAAAACGGTTTCCAGCAGTTACCAAGTGCAACGTGCAAAGATCTGAAGCGTCGAACGTTGAGGACGTGCCAAGTGTAATCATCTCGAAGCAGTGTAACTGCCCGACGGTTACTTGTGATGATTTAGTATAAATAGTAGTAGACATGTAGTTTCTCGCGTGTGTTCACAATTCTATACAAAGTCACTCATATAGATTCGAGTACCCAGCGTGTGAGAAAGAATTGTTGAGAAATGTATGTGTGAAACACCAACTTTATTAATCAAAGTCATTTACTTTTCCAGAAATTTACTTGCTTTCCTCTTTACATTCCTGTCGAACCCTTTTACTTTAAGCCTTGTTTATTTTACCAAGTCCTTTCTTCATGCAATTTCATTTAAAGCCTCTTTATTTTATTTAAAGCCTCTTTATTTAAAGCCTTATCCAATTTAATCAAACTTCAAAATCAACCTATGTCCTAGGATCAATCTGATCGATCCTGCGAGTAACCAAATAAGTAACCATTTGGAAGATCAGCGGTTGTTTACCAAAACCCAAGGTAAACAAACCGGTTCCTGCATATGTAGGAACCGGGTTCTGCTGTAACCTTTTGAAAAATATTAAACTTTGAAAATTCATAACTTTCAAACCTTAAGTCCGTTTTGAGTGTCGTTTTGGACGTTATTTCTTAAATTTAATGCTCTATTTTATAAAATGAAAAGATTTCCTAAAACCTGAAATTATTTTGAAAATTACTCAAATCCTGGAATAAGTGATTATTGGCTAACACACATGGGTGTGTATGTAGCAGTGAACCTGTGATGGATGGATGTATTAGTATTGTGTGAATGAAAGGCATGTTTATGTTGCTAATGATGGTGTGCATGATCGTTGAGATATCATGTTTTTGGTTTTGGTTCAGTTATGATAAATTGATGTATTTCATAGACTGATTTGATGTTGCATGCTAGTGGTGTGCGTGCATATGCATTGTTTTGGTGAAGTTAATTCTGATTGTGTGGAATTTGACTTGTATTGCTATTAACCGATACCCGGGTGATGATGGGTGGTTGGGCTGGATTCGTGTCTGGGTGTTTATGGACGAATCGATGGTTGCTGTATCCGGTTGATGATGGATCAGTGTTGGGTGACTTGGTCACGTGTTGGTACCACATGCATTGTGTCTGCATTTGTGTTTGCATGGAATTGTAACATGTTAGGATGTCTTCCAGTGTTACAATTCTTTGGTTGATTATTGATTTGTGCATAATGACTTGTATAATTGGAACTACGTGTTGAATCTGAATTTATGCTAAAATGGGTGAAATAATATGCTTGTGATATAATGTTGATTGAGAAGCTTATAATGCATGTTAATTATGAGAAATCTCACCCTTACTTTAACAATTTCAGATTAAAGTTAGCAGCTCAGGAGTTGGTGAGGATGGCTCTAGAGCTATGTTACTTTAAGTCCACGTGTCAGTGTCGTGCTCTGATAGGTTGTAACACTGGGGAACGTTTAGTTGAGGAATTAGTTATTATTCAATTGTTTCTTTGAATTTCATTGGGAATAATTATGTTTTGGTTTATTCCGTTTTGGTTATGGTATTTTTCCGCTGTGTAAGACATGGTCTTAATTTGATTGAATTATTTGAATAATGACCCTCAGTGTAACATGACTGCTGTTTTATTGGAAGTTTTATTTATTTCATAATTGTGACATCCCTTGTTCCGTGTTAACTCTGATGGAATATGTCTTTAATCATTGATATAATTAATATTATTCGGGGTATTTTAGAAGGGGTGTTACAATAGTGGTATCAGAGCATAGTCGGTCTTGTCTTGTGTCGTTATCCCTTTTGTATGCGACTAGTGTAAGATGACACTGTCGATACTTGTGTGCTGATGAGGTTGTTTTGTAATGTTACAAGAACAATGGCCGGAAGAGGTAACGGAAGAAACGACGATGCTATTGCTGAAGCATTGGGAATGTTGGCTGGAGTACTCGGAGGGAACCAGCAGGGAGCTGTGATTGGTGCTGACCGACAATTGGGGAATTTTCAGAGGAATAATCCTCCGTTGTTCAAGGGTGCACATGATCCCGAAGGTTCTCAGAAGTGGTGGAAGGAGATTGAGAGGACCTTCAGAGTAATTGACTGTGCTGAAGGGCTGAAGGTGAGATACGGAACTCACATGTTAGTAGAGGAAGCTGATGACTGGTGGGTTGCTACCAGAACTGAAATGGAAGAAGATGGTATTGCGTTGACTTGGGCTGTGTTCAGGAGGGCTTTTCTGAGGAGGTACTTTCCTGAGGACATCAGAGGTAAGAAGGAGATTGAGTTTCTGGAACTCAAGCAGGGTAACAAGACTGTCAGTGAGTATGCTTCGAAGTTTACTGAGTTAGTGAAGTATTATGCTCATTATACTAACGATGCAGATGGAGAATTTTCCAAATGTATCAAGTTTGAGAATGGTCTTCGTGATGAGATTAAGCAGGGTATTCGGTATCAGCGTATCCGAAGATTTCCTGATCTGGTTGACTGTAGTAGGATTTTAGAGGAGGATCTTGCTAGCACTAAGTCGAATGCTCGAGGGTATGTTGATAGGAAAGGTAAGCAACAGATGGATCGTGGTAAGCCTTATGATAGAAGTAATCAGAGACCCGGTGGTTGGAAGAAGTTTGGTGGAGGAGATTCTAGTTCTTCCATTAAGTGCTATAAGTGTGGTGAGACAGGAGATCGTATGGTGGATTGCAAAAGTAATGATAAGAAGTGTTTCAAGTGTGGGAAACTCGGCCATGTGGCCAATGATTGCAGAGTAAGAGTGGTGACTTATTACAACTGTGGTGAAGAAGGTCATACTCGTCCTCAGTGTACAAAACCCAAGAAGGAGCAAGCTGGTGGTAAAGTGTTTGCATTGTCTGGGTCAGAGACTAAGCCAGATGATCGGCTGATTAAAGGTACATGTTTTATTAATGACATACCTTTGATTGTGATTATTGATACTGGAGCTACGCATTCTTTTATTGCTTTGGATTGTGCTAAAAGATTGAATTTGGAAATTTCTAATATGGATGGAAGTATGGTTATTGATACTCCTGCGTCGGGTTCAGTGACTACTTCGTATGTTTGTAGGAATTGTCCTATTGTGATTTTTGGTAGGGGTTTCGGTATGGATTTAGTGTGCCTACCGTTAGAACAACTTGATATCATCCTTGGAATGAACTGGTTGGAATTCAACCAGGTTCATATCAACTGTTTTGCGAAGACGGTTATTTTTCCTGAAGAGGTTGGTGTCGAAGATGTGACTATGTCGGTTAAACAGATGAACCTAGCTGTGAAAGATGGTGCTGTGGTATTTATGTTGTATTCTGCAATAGAAGCGGAGGGAAAAACAAAGAGTGATGGATTTCCAGTGGTGAATGAATTTCCAGAGGTGTTTCCGGAAGACGTTAGTGAATTGCCACCTGAGAGGGAGGTAGAATTTACTATAGATTTGATTCCTGGAACTAGTCCAGTGTCGATGGCGCCTTACCGTATGTCGGCATCTGAATTAGCGGAGTTAAAGAAACAATTGGAGGAGTTACTTGAGAAGAAGTTTATTCGTCCGAGTGTTTCGCCGTGGGGTGCTCCGGTGTTGTTGGTTAAGAAGAAAGAAGGTTCAATGAGATTATGTGTTGATTACAGACAACTGAATAAAGTTACAATCAAGAATTGGTATCCTTTGCCGAGGATCGATGATTTGATGGATCAACTAGTTGGAGCTTGTGTATTTAGTAAGATTGATCTGAGATATGGATATCATCAGATTCGTGTGAAGTCGGAAGATATTCAGAAAACTGCATTTAGAACGAGGTATGGACATTACGAGTATTCTGTTATGCCGTTTGGAGTTACTAATTCACCTGGTGTTTTCATGGAGTATATGAACAGGATATTTCATCCGTATCTTGATAAGTTTGTGGTGGTGTTCATTGATGATATTCTAATTTATTCGAAGAGCGATGAAGAGCATGTAGAACATCTCAGAGTTGTGTTGGAATTGTTGAAAGAGAAGAAGCTTTATGCGAAGTTGTCCAAGTGTGAATTCTGGTTAAGTGAAGTAAGTTTTCTTGGCCATGTAATTTCCAAGAATGGAATTGCTATGGATCCTACGAAGGTAGAAGCAGTATCTCAGTGGGAGGCGCCGAAGAATGCTTCTGAGATCCGTAGTTTTTTGGGTCTTGCAGGTTATTACAGGAAGTTTATAGAAGGATTTTCCAAATTAGCGTTACCGTTGACTAAGTTGACCAGGGAGGGTCAGATGTTTGTTTGGGATGTTGAATATGAGAAAGGATTTCAAGAGCTGAAGAGGAGGTTGACAAGTGCTCCGATCTTGATTTTGCCAAATCTGACTAAGTCTTTTGTTGTGTATTGTGACGCATCATTAATGGGATTAGGTGGTGTGTTGATGCAAGATAAGCAGGTGGTGGCTTATGCTTCGAGACAATTGAAAGTACATGAAAGGAATTATCCGACTCATGATTTGGAGTTGGCAGCTGTTGTGTTTGTTTTGAAGTTGTGGAGGCATTATTTATATGGTTCTCGGTTTGAGGTGTTCAGTGATCACAAAAGTCGGAGGTATCTCTTTGATCAGAAAGAGTTGAATATGAGGCAGAGGAGATGGTTAGAATTTCTAAAGGATTATGATTTCGGTTTGAATTACCATCCTGGTAAGGCAAACATTGTTGTAGATGCCTTAAGTAGAAAGTCCTTGCATATGTCGATGTTAATGGTCCGTGAGTTAGATTTGGTTGAGCAGTTCAGAGATTTAAGTTTGGTATGTGAAACTACTCTGAATAGTGTGAAATTGGGTATGTTGAAACTGACTAGTGGTATTCTGGAAGAAATTCGGAATGGACAGAAGTCCGATGTTGGGTTAGTTGATAAATTGACATTGATCAACCAAGGTCAAGGAGGCGAGTTCCGGATTGATGAGAATGGTGTTATGAGATTTGGTAATAGGGTGTGTGTTCCGGATGTTGCAGAGATTAGGAAGAGTATTTTGGAAGAAGGACATCGTAGTGGATTGAGTATTCATCCTGGTGCTACTAAAATGTACCATGATTTGAAGAAGTTGTTTTGGTGGCCGGGAATGAAAAAGCAAATTGCTGAGTTTGTGTATGCTTGTTTGGTTTGTCAGAAGTTGAAGATTGAGCATCAGAAACCGTCAGGATTGATGGAACCGTTGTTTGTTCCGGAATGGAAATGGGATGGAATCTCTATGGATTTTGTGTCTGGTTTGCCAAGGACATCGAAGAATTGTGATTCTATCTGGGTTATTGTTGATCGGTTGACGAAATCTGCTTACTTTATTCCGATAAGAATGGATTATCCGATGGAAAGGTTGGCAGAATTGTATGTTGAGAAGATTGTGAGTTTGCACGGTATTCCTTCTAGTATTGTGTCGGATCGAGATCCGAGGTTTACATCTAAATTCTGGATGGGATTTCAAGAAGCTTTGGGTACTAAGTTGCGTTTGAGTTTCGCTTATCATCCACAGACAGATGGTCAGACGGAGAGAACGATTCAGTCGTTGGAAGATTTGTTAAGAGCTTGTGTGTTGGAGAAAGGTGGAGCTTGGGATAGTTATCTACCATTGATTGAGTTTACCTACAACAATAGTTTTCATTCGAGCATTGGTATGGCTCCGTTTGAGGCATTGTATGGTAGGAGGTGTCGGACACCGTTGTGTTGGTATGAATCTGGAGAGAGTGTTGTGATTGGACCGGAAATTGTCCAACAGACTTCGGAAAAGATTAAGATGATTCATGAGAAGATGAGGACTTCTCAGAGTCGTCAGAAAAGTTATCACGATAAGAGGAGGAAAGATCTTGAGTTTAGCGAAGGAGAACATGTTTTTATGCGAGTTACTCCGATGACTGGTATTGGTCGAGCTTTGAAGTCAAAGAAGTTGACTCCATGTTTTATTGGTCTGTTTCAGATTACCAAGAGAGTTGGGAAAGTTTCTTATCAGATTGCTTTGCCGCCGTCACTTGCAAATTTGCATGATGTTTTTCATGTATCTCAGCTAAGGAAGTACATTGCTGATCCGTCTCATGAGATCTGGGTAGACGATATACAGGTACGAGAGAATTTGACTGTGGAAGCGGTACCTGCGAGAATTGAGGATCGGAAGTTGAAACAGTTGCGAGGCAAGGAGATCGCGTTGGTAAGAGTGGCTTGGGGAGGACCAGCAGATGGAAATGTCACTTGGGAGCTGGAGAGTCAGATGAAGGACTCGTATCCCGAACTGTTCGTCTAAGGTATGTTTTCGAGGACGAAAACTCTTTTAGTTGGGGAGAGTTGTGACACCCCAAATAATCCGATTATTAAATAATTAGAATTTTTAATTATTAATTTAATTGGAAATTTAATTATTGGTATTTTTGGATTATTGGAATTAATTTAATTAATTAAAGGAAAGAAGTATTGGTGGTGTGAAGAGTGATTAGAGGGTGTGAGAGGTAAAATACTCTACTCTTACTAATTACTAATTTAATTATTTTATTGGAATAATAAAAGGAGTATTAAAAGGAAAAAGAAGAGAAAGAGAGTTATTTTGGAATATTCATCATACGTGCATTTGAGAAGAGGAAAAAGAAGGAGAAAACCGGAAGCGTCAGAATTCGAAGAACCCACAAGGTAAGGGGTGATTTCGATTAGTTAATTCGTATTATCGGTTTAGATATTCAATAGTATGGATCATAGTATGTTAGGGAATCCCGGTTTGGAATTCTAGGGTTCCGTAGAATTGTCCCTATTGCGTCGAATTGTAGGTTGAAAACCATTAGGGTGTCAGATGATAAAAAGGAATGATGAAATAATATTGTTTGATGTTATAATGGTGCAAAATGGATGTGTTTTGGTGTTTCTCATGTTGCAATTCATATGGGTATGTTTGGAATTGGTTTAGAATGAATAAATGCTGTCAAAAGTGCAGAATTTGACTCTGCAGGTCGTGGGAACCGGTTCCCAGTGGGGAGGAACCAGGTTCCACTGTGTGAATTTATAAAAACTGGCAAAAATGCACGTAGGAACCGGTTCCTGTATAGGTAGGAACCCGGTTCCCATACATTTTTCCAGAAGCGTGATTTTTGAACTTCGCAGGAACCGGTTCCTGCATATGTAGGAACCGGGTTCTGCTGTAACCTTTTGAAAAATATTAAACTTTGAAAATTCATAACTTTCAAACCGTAAGTCCGTTTTGAGTGCCGTTTTGGACGTTATTTCTTAAATTTAATGCTCTATTTTATAAAATGAAAAGATTTCCTAAAACCTGAAATTATTTTGAAAATGAGTCAAATCCCGGAATAAGTGATTATTGGCTAATGCACATGGGTGTGTATGTAGCAGTGAACCTGTGATGGATGGATGTATTAGTATTGTGTGAATGAAAGACATGTTTATGTTGCTAATGATGGTGTGCATGATCGTTGAGATATCATGTTTTTGGTTTTGGTTCAGTTATGATAAATTGATGTATTTCATAGACTGATTTGATGTTGCATGCTAGTGGTGTGCGTGTATATGCATTGTTTTGGTGAAGTTAATTCCCATTGTGTGGAATTTGACTTGTATTGCCGTTAACCGATACCCGGGTGATGATGGGTGGTTGGGCTGGATTTGTGTCCGGGTGTTTATGGACAAATCGATGGTTGCTGTATCCAGTTGATGATGGATCAGTGTTGGGTGACTTGGTCACGTGTTGGTACCACATGCATTGTGTCTGCATTTGTGTTTGCATGGAATTGTAACATGTTAGGATGTCTTCCAGTGTTACAATTCTTTGGTTGATTATTGATTTGTGCATAATGACTTGTATGATTGGAACTGTGTGTTGAATCTGAATTTATGCTAAAATGGATGAAATAATATGCTTGTGATATAATGTTGATTGAGAAGCTTATAATGCATGTTAATTATGAAAAATCTCATCCTTACTTTAACAATTTCAGATTAAAGTTAGCAGCTCAGGAGTTGGTGAGGATGGCTCTAGAGCTATGTTACTTTAAGTCCGCATGTCAGTGTCGTGCTCTGATAGGTTGTAACACTGGGGAACGTTTAGTTGAGGAATTAGTTATTATTCAATTGTTTCTTTGAATTTCATTGGGAATAATTATGTTTTGGTTTATTCTGTTTTGGTTATGGTATTTTTCCACTGTGTAAGACATGGTCTTAATTTGATTGAATTATTTGAATAATGACTCTCAGTGTAGCATGACTACTGTTTTATTGGAAGTTTTATTTATTTCATAATTGTGACATCCCTTGTTCCGTGTTAACTCTGATGGAATATGTCTTTAATCATTGATATAATTAATATTATTCGGGATATTTTAGAAGGGGTGTTACAACGAGCGCCTTAGTATTGATCGAGCGTACCTCGAACGTCGGACAGCCATCCTCATC